AATGGTACGTTGAGCCGCTTTGCCTACAGAATTTACAATCTTCACAAGATGGTCTCTACGAGCTTCAATGACCTCTGGGGGACCTCGTAAACGTGGTCTTTGTAGCGGATGTTGATCGGGAGATCCTTATGCGGTGACGGCCATTAACCACCATAATTGTTGCTGCAAGCTGATTCGGCATACTGTAGCGTTTTCACGTTAGCTCAGTTAGATCCTGCTGTGGATGCAGTGCATTTGACACCACTTTCAAGGCACAGTGCGGCAGCGTGGATACATGGATTTCCTGACCGGATTCACCCATGTACAGTGAAACTAAGCTGAAATAATCGTTAATGCCTTTCTTTCAGACCATGCGCTATCACTGTTATGGGTTTGACGTTTTCAGTATATTTACTACGTCCAATATATCCCGACTGTGAACCACCAAAAATAACTGTTCAACTTCTCGCGGCATCTATGATATGTAAGAAACAGCTTGAAAGCACATTCCACACGGATCATGTGGGCGGAGTCAGATGTAGCATCGCGGCTTCTTCTCTGGCGCGCTCTGGAATTGTGAGTGTGGGCTTGCCAATGAGGAGGGCACAATGATGGCCTAACTCCGCTGATGGGATCACAGTTGAATGTGGCTTTGTCGGTCCCACATTCTATTTTTGACGTTCTAACGTATTCTTCGCAGTGATCCTGACTGGAGTGAACTGTTGGTCGGTAAAAGTGACAACGGTAGTTCAAGACTGGTTCACCTATGGAAAAGTGTTTGCACTAGTGGCCGTTATATTTACCGGTGGATACCTTTTAATATTTGGTAAGGAGCATGTAGTTTTGAAGTCATTTGAGCGTTTCAAACTAAAGGGAGGGGCATTTCTGAGTAGTATCAGCCCACAACCCCGCTAGGTCTAGGATCAAGTCTTATCTAACTATGAGTCAGCAGTCTCGCACAGTGAAAGTATGGGATCTCAAAGCACGTGGGATTTTGATTCGAGATCACCAAGTGGAGGTGAGTCCGCGTCAACGGCGTTAGATATCGCGTGTAGTACAATGTAGGGGACATTCTGGGCTGGGTTCACCAGAGCCCAGCCCAGAATGTCCCCTAAGTTTGCCCTGAGTTTGCAGAGAAACTCTCCTGCACATCGGTCCAATCACCTTAAAGACACATGGTACGCTCAAACACATTGAGGGTGTATGAGACTATCAGCCCCCAGCTGTCGATGTGTCGTGGTCCCCCGCCCAAACATGCCCAGGAATGGAGATACAGGACCGTGAAACACGCTAATTCCTCCATGCTCCGCCTTACACCTTTTGCGGCGCAGATTCCCGTCCTTCATAACATCCGTTGCAAGCGCGCGTGTCGCGTGCGGCTCCTTGGCACTTTGCCAAGTCCTTTAATTGCGCTCTCAAATACGAGTAAAACGCAATTTCCTGATGCGGATAACATTGGAGGTGCTACAAAATAAGAACAGAAGATGACAAGGGCCAGAACTCAAGAGCAACTCGGCTGCATCTGCAGAATCCATCAGAGGCCGCGCATTCCCAGAAAACATGAGAATAAAAACAATCCAAGCGTCCCACTCGTTTATTCTAAGTATTTCTATGGCTTCGGCGCCGGATCGTAGAAATTTACAGGCGATTTTAACTAATTTGCCTTTCCTTGATTTTTTCATTTTTGTTTTATTTACATTTACATCGTTGTGCTTCATTTCTAGCCTGTGTCATCTTCATCTCCTTGTACATGGATTTTGAAGCATGAGCAACACCTAAAATTTTATTCGCATCAGGAAATTGCGTTTTGCTTGTATCAAACTAACGAGTATGCCGTTTTATTTTCATGTTTTGTGGGAATGCGCGGCCTCTGATGGATTCTGCAGATGCAGCCGAGTTGCTCTTGAGTTCTGGCCCTTGTCATCATCTTCTGTTCTTATTTTGTAGCACCTCCAATGTTATCCGCATCAGGAAATTGCGTTTTACTCGTATTTGAGAGCGCAATTAAAGGACTTGGCAAAGTGCCAAGGAGCCGCACGCGACACGCGCGCTTGCAACGGATGTTATGAAGGACGGGAATCTGCGCCGCAAAAGGTGTAAGGCGGAGCATGGAGGAATTAGCGTGTTTATCTCCATTCCTGGGCATGTTTGGGCGGGGGGACCACGACACATCGACAGCTGGGGGCTGATAGTCTCATACACCCTCAATGTGTGTGAGCGTACTATGTGTCTTTAAATTCGAAAGTTTGCCGTCGAGCTGGTAGTAGGGAGTGGTAGACACCTCCGGCAGACTATTAAGCATGATAGTTGTTCTTTTTGGAATTTCAGAAATAGACCCCCTCTCTCCAGCGACCAAATACGGCCCCGCATCCAGTTCCCTAGCTTTCGCGTGAGCCATGCAGCTCTTCCATACCTCCTGATCCAATGGTATAGTTGCAGTCTAACCCAACATTGCACTTAAATACTAAAGATGCATCCGCAAGCCGGTTCAGTTCTGGACGGGGATTGGCCGGGCCATACCACCTGGAAATTTGTAGAGCGACTCGTCTGCTGCTCGTGTACCACCCGCTCCACTGATTGAAAATCGCCATTGGTTTTCGCTTATAGATGCTACGCAATAACCTGCGTGGGCAATCGACATACGATTCAGCGTTTTTTTTTCCTCCCAGGGTCTTTAGCCAGTTGACCGACCTGGACCTGGAGACTTGGCTGTTTCAAGAGGGTGCTCATGCAGGATCTGATTGCTGGGGGGTGCCGTGATAGGCGACGTCACTTGCCAACACAGTGCCACCACCCTGTTTCAAAACATTACTCCCCGTTCAGTAATTGCAGCTTTTAAATCAGGGTGTGTGCTGTCACGAAATAAAAACGAGAGTTCCGCGTTTCAGGTGGCCCTCAGTACAGAGATTCATTCGACCACCTTTTCGAGGGCAATTTCCGTCATATTTCCCAACCAGCCGTTGGATTCTATTCGGGACTTTTCTCCTTTCAAGGATGGGCATGGCTGAATTTCATCACCGAAGAGCTAATTAATCCAGAACGGTAAGCTTACTACTTGAAAACAAATTCTGACATCGCATATCGGATAGTGACGTTCGATTACAAACCTGCAGTTTCTAAGTGGTTCTCTAGGGAGGGTCCTAATGGGCGGGCAACTAGGGAGGCGTCAGAACTCCTGGCTGAGTAGGCCCACTGCTTATATTTCTTACTGTGAGGGTGTGAAAGTGTGACGTAGGGACTGTGGACCAGACTACTTGCATAAGAATTGGAACTCACGAATTGGTTCAGCCGATATGGTTTTGTTTACTGTTCAGAAACCTGCCCCTTGCAATTTTGATCTCAATGGGAATATGTACGGTGGTCTACACTCTATTCAATATAGCTCTGTATACCGTAATTTCTCCCGACGAAATGCTCATCAGTCCTGCAGTGGCAGTGGTAAGTTTTGCACGCTCGCGTTGGTCGTGCTCGCGATGGTCGAGCTCGCCGTTCGTACGACGAGGATCATGAATAAATCGAAGCACTGTTTCCAGTTGTTCGCTCAGAAAGAATTCGGAAGGCTCGCTTTCCTGATGCCAATTTTCGTCGCCATTTCAACTTTTGGATCGGTGAACGGCACGATTATGAACAGCTCAAGGTATGCATGTCTGGTCCTCTCGTGGAGGCGGTCCAGTATGGCAGCGTTCAGACTTCGCGACGGCAGCGCTTCGGTCGCGCGTTCGGCGCGATCGATGCGCATGCTTTCGACTGCATCGATCGCGTCGAACGCGCGACCGAAGCGCTGCCGTCGCGAAGTCTGAACGCTCCCTACAGGTTTGCAGGTCACTACTGTAATGTTAGTACATGCCGCGACGGGTAAGCCCATAGTCACCGTGGGAACTTCAGCACTAGCGCATAAGAAGAGCATGCCACCCATCGGGCACACTCATGATGGAGCAAAAATGGGTGGGGTTGCGGCAGCAGTTACGGCTTTTTTTTGTAGAAGAACTGCTGTGCAGTAGTACTGCTCCAGACTACCGTCCCTACTTCCAGGCGGACTCGCTTACGCATAAGAACTGGTTCTTCCGCATCAGAGCTCCTTTTCCCGCATATCAGGGCAAAAATCCTATCGCCCAACTTGCATTAGTTTCTTCTAGCACCGAAGTGTAATTAGACGTCATGACACGCCGCGGCATGTCCTGAAGTCATTTTGCCTCCATGACTTTCAAGGCGCTATAAGTTACACTTTATTAAATTTTTATCGGACATTTTTACTACCATATTAAAGAGCACATTAAATACTATAATGATACTG